ATTAAAAGTGTTGTTTTTCATTTTTTTATGAGAAGTCCAGCTTGGGTGCCCGCAGCACCTGTTCGGCACCCAACCTGCACTTACCTCTTGCGATAGGGTCTATCGTATTACGTAAACTTTTACTGGATACAAGTAACTACTGTTCATTTCAAAAAAGAAGCCGGATGGATATTTTTTGAATAACTTTAGATAGGAACAAGATAGAGAGCTACGACTGTTATCGTTGGTAAGAGGCTTATCCAGCGCATCGATTTATATAAAATTATTGAGATTTATTTCATAAATAAGTAATGATGCATGGTCATCTTGAAATAGCAGACTGTTAATCTATGAAGATAGAACGAATCTCAAACTTTGAGGGGTGAACTAAAATCGCCAGCTGACAAGCTCCAAATCTATGAAAGACTAAAATGATTTTCTCAATTCGTTTAGAAGCTATAAGCCAAATATTAACGGCCATTGACCAATTTTTTGTCAATTTCACCCTGCGCAAAATATTTTTCAAATTATTATTAATGATATTTTCAATCATGCCGGATCAATTGACAATACTTGTTTTTCTCTAGAACAATTCTTTTTCTATCAAGATACTATAACTAGCCATTGAACAAAATAGCTTTCATATTCTATTATATTGTTAACTTGGAATACATAGATAATATTTCACAAACACTTGCGGACGAAAATGACACGCCTGGAACCGTACGTAGATTGAATCATATGTTTACTGTTTCATTTGGTTATTTTTTTTCTAATGATTGTACTGTAACGTAATTTAAGCGATCAATAGTTATTTCTACTGCCAACAGGATGTAGGTGTGAATGTAGAATATCGATACACCCCCAGTCACAGCCACACACCACGCCTACCAAAAATCGGTCACATGCTGTTAGTATTTGATTCATAACTTTTCAGCGAATTGAGACAAACGTTTCGGGCTTTCGTAGATTTGTAGCTTGTCAGCTGACGATTCTAGTCCACTCCGCAACGTTTAAAATTCGTTCTATCTTCATAGAGTAACAGTCTACTCTTTCAAGATGACCATGTATCATTACTTGTTTATGAAATAAATCTTAATAATTTTATATGAATCGATGCGCTGGATAAACCTCTTACCAACGATAACAGTCGTAGCTCTCTATCTTGTTCCTATCTAAAGTTATTCAAAAAATACTCATCCGCCTTTCTTTTTGAAATGGACAGTAGTCTACGCACCACAATTACAGAGCAGTCAGTGTAATCTTAAGAACTCAACAACGGCTTAAAAAAGAAATCTGTTTCCACTATAAACTCGACTAGAGATATAGAAACTTGAGAAACGAATTAATGCAATTTGGAAGATATTTTTTCTTTTAAAGGTTGGGTCTAAAGGCCGAATAGGTAAGGGACAGGGACCTAGCCAGAAATTTTCTAAGAGGGTGCTCACCAGCAGAGAAAATTATTCACCATGCGAATAGTTGGGTGTAGTTGTTAATGTGAATTTTGATAAGAAGGGGGATACGAGGGTGTTGGGTGAGGGCTTGGATGAGTGTTTGGTATATCAGTTCTTCTCCTGTGCATTCTTCATTCAAAATCCTATCTACACTCGCCCAAGCCTACACCACACGCTCACCGATCCATACCAACACCCCACACCCATGCCCATCCACACTCTATTCAGATTTCATAAAATACCTTTTTTAATTTTTGCATTCTTAATTATACGAAACGAAAATCCAATTCATCTATGAGTAGAAGAGATGTTTACAATGTTCTCTTTGAATCAAACAAATAGGTTTACTCGTTGCAGACAACAACAAGTTTTAATCAATGCGTATTGTTTTTTTCTTTCTTTTTTTACCCTATGAATATTCTTTTCTTTGCTCATTTTGTCTAAAAAAAGGTTTATTACAAAAAATACGAACTATGACAATAAATAAGACGTCAAAGAGTAAAAAAAGAATCTAAGGCAACATTGTGAGCCTATGAGAAAAGCAAGCATTATAAAAAGATGTTGATAGACATGAAGTTCAAACTAACACATGATAAGAAATTGGAATGCTAGTAGAATTTTTGGCAAGATATAAATCATTGTGGTTTTATCATAAATAAAGTACATTCATGCATGGACTTGTCAAAAACTATTCATTGACCATGTGAACACTATTTTGTTTATTCTTTTAATTAAACAAGAAAAGTCTTTTCTGAGAAATATTGTATATTTTCTTAAATTTCTATTGGTATGGGAACTTTTCTAGTAATATTTAGAAAACGATGATTTGATATCAGATTCAACAAGAATTGACACTCGTTAATATTAACTTCCACACAGAATGAAGACGCAAATGTCCAATAATATTCGATAAATCTTTTCAAATGAAAACTTTACGATCATAACTGAATTTAGTTAGATAATAGTCTACAAAATGATTTCATTGCATCATGTTTTATTGTTATAATGCATATAATTATATATAGAACTTATCACATTGATCAATTGAAACAACATTCTTTTTATGTATAATAAATTTCTCAAATAATACATTGTTAGATGTTACTATTGACTATTTATAAAGCATCGCAGTGTCATTGAATATTAATCAACTGGAAAATACATCGAATAGTAATAATCACTGGTATGGATTCGTTGAATATAACATAGAGATTCTATCGAATTCTATGCACTTTTTTATTACAAAATATTCTTTTTCCTTCGTCGCCAGCTTTGACAAAGCAAAAAACAAAGAAAATATAAGTCATCTTTCATACTTGCCACAGACGATCACTGTCTCCGTGAACGACAATAGTATTAAGGAACAATTGATACCATAGTGATAAGAACTGTATGTACAGGTACTGAAATTATATCTTTAATATGCACACGATTATGCGAATCTATAACTTAGGGCAATTATCTAGTTTTCATATCAGGGCTTCATGTAAGACGTCCCATCAGATCGAATGGGACGAAAATTTAAAAAAAAAATTCTATTAGACATGTCAGGTTAAAACTTATTTTTTGTCGAGACTCTATGAGAGCATTGATTTTTTCTTTCAATAAAAACTATACTATTTGAGGGACGTAGCTTATTTTAGCAATTTGATGTACTTTTTGAAAAATCTTTTGTGGGCGTCGATTGACACATACAAAAGATTATTTAAAGAGAACCGAACCTGTTAAAAGACACAATGTATTTCAAAAACTATAGTTTTGACGTCAAAACGAAGCCTGTTTCGTACTGATATCTAGATGGAATTTTTATTTTGACATATTCATTACTTAAGGAACTTCGAAAGAGAAGTGCTTTTAGTGAACACTAGAAGACTTTGTTGTCGTCCAAATATTTCAATATGAAGAGAAGTAAGCTTAAAAATTCTCTACCAACGAACTTCAGGAAATTAAAACTATACATTAAATTGATCAAGTGGACAAAGATATTGATGTTTTTCATATTTTTTTAAAACTAAAACTGACCTTGTCACCGATTCCATTTCATGGTTCATATTAAAAAACAAATTTATTGCATTTGGTTTATGAAAATATCTTGTTTATGGGCTCGCCCTCCCCTCAAAATCGATATGCCACGTAGGATGATCAGTTTAGGCTGAAATTTTCAGAAATGAATGATCGTAGTGAGAAACACTTCTAGTAAAAATTTCAGCCCAATATGTTAAACTAGACGGGACTTCTGGTTTATTTATAGTCCATTTTTAGCCTGCAAGAGAATCCTTATAACTTACCTATTACAAGAGATAGAGGGCTCGGGATGGTTTCAAATTAAAGTTAACTCCAATGCGCAATTTTTCATCGAATAGAATTTTGAAATTGATTTCTATTCATTTTTTATGATCGTTTCAGTACATATCGGGTCGAAATAAGCCAAAAAAAAATGCCACTACATGAGATTAAATCTCACTTTTCTTATTGCAGAACTCAAATATAAAAAATATGGTCGGACAAAATTTTACTCTCGCTTAAACCTTTAAAACAAAAGAATATATTGGTATTATCTTGAAGCGTGTGGGAGTTATTTTCATTTTTCTGATCAAAAATCATGTGTTTGAGAAAAATAATAAATCAGTTTAGAAATTGGTTTTTCATTCAAATCCAGAAATAATGGGATATTGATAATGTCTATGAGGAATTTTTGAAAGCACACAATAGATGACATAAGCTAGCTTCACGGTCCGTACTATGTCGTATAAAAATGTCTATTCCATACTGATAGAAGTAGCAAAATAGTGTTTGCAAAAATATCAAAAACAGTCAAAAACCGTGTAGTAAGCTGGAGATCTCCTACGGAGGTCTGTTAAAATTTGGTCTTTTTTTTAAAAGCATATGTATGTTCTGCAAGAGGAAACTTCGCTCCATCTTCCAATGATAAAAACTCAACCTCTATCATATTACAAAAAATGGATTTTCTGAAGAGGGGAGAGGAGGCCCGAACCAATAAATTTCAAATATATCTATTATTATGTGCATTTCATCCCACGAAATGACATTTTCTTTTTTGATTTTTCAAGTTCATGGGTACTTTCATAGATAACAATCGTATATACAAACACATGCCATACATATCGGTATTCAGAATTATTGTATAGGTAGATAATATCGGGTTTTGTTAATTAAAAAAAGTTCATTCCACTTAGAACTGTATTCCACATTCATCTGTTTTTTCTCGTGCGTTGAAAAAATAACATGTTTAGCTAAAGTGTTTTTCAATGTGCATTCGACTTATAAAAGAATAAATTCATGAGAATATCTAATTTGTCATGTAAAGTTTTTTTTTCCATCATATGATATTCTTTGAGATATTTGTCTTTGAAGATTCTAATTCATTGGTGTACGTAGTGACGAACGATGTGCTTGAATTGGTTCATATTGTTTTGTTCTGTCGTTTTTACTGCTGCAAAACACTTCAATGGAGGAACTATCCGATGGGCTCCCATTACTCCTTATGATAATTCCTCTCCAGTTGATATTACTATTACACAGTCTTATTCATGGACATATCCATACATGACGTGTGCCAACAATGTACCGATCTCGACTATTGGATGGAGTAGTGCCAATGCTAATCTGATTTGTGTTGCTGACTGTTTAACTGATGGTGGCTATTCTACTGCACCAATTGATATTCTCACTGATTGTACATCAGTTAGTTCATCATTGAAGATGATGACAAGTGAACGATCGAAAAATGTAACACTGTCTGCGGATGCACATTTTTATTTAGCTTATAGAGGAAGTGCTTGGGTGCCACTAAATGATCCTGCTAAAACAGCTCTTGATTGGTCTATTGTAACGTACATTGATCTTCGCAAACGACCAGATGGTTTCATTAATACTTCACCTATAGCTAAAGTTGTTTCTCCACAATATGTCATTTTGAATCAAACGACACAAATTAATATTCTTGTTTCGGATGCGAATGTTGGTGACGATGTACGTTGTCGATGGTCAAAATATACAATTGGATATCGAAGACGAAAACGATCAGACGAAGAAAGACATGAAAACCACTATTATACTGCTCAAAAATATATAAAAGAACCAGACAACAAAGAAATCATGGATCTCAGAAAAAAACGACAGACTTGTTCAAGTGGATGTTTAAAGGGTGAAAAGTGTAACAGTGTTAGATGCGATGGGACCATGTGCACGACTCTGACCTGTGAAAGCACGTGTTGTGACTACCCAACGACAACAACAACGAGTACATCCACAGACAGCACAACTTCTACGGAAACTCCAGGAACACCAAAGTCGACTTCGTCGTTTCCAATACGTCAGGCAATTGATGAATGCGGTGATATTTGTTATCCAAACAGTGTGCCTAATGGTACAACCCTGACCAACTGTACTATCACATTCACAGGTCTTAAAGCTGGTGTTTGGTATGGAATTGCTATTCAGGTAAGCAATTTATTATTCATGCATCATTTATTCTTCATCCACCAGCGTGACATTATTTATTTCTTCTGACCTATCATGACTTATAATATTGGTATACTACGATATTTCATCAGATGACGTCTGTCTTCCGTTGATGTTGAGCCACTTTATTCATGAGAAAAATCTGTCGAACCATGCATATTCGAAACAACATTTCTCGCTCGAGCAGATTATTTATAACTTTTATATCAGACACTAATCTTCAAAAAAAAAGGTTTTATCAGTGTTAGAAAAAAATATCAAATTATGTATAACATTATGCAATACTTATGTAAGGTATATAAGGTTTACTTCTTTTTCTATAGGTTGAAGATTTTATCGATAATACAAGTACAACACCAATGAGTTCGGTACCAGTTCAATTTTTGATTTATGTTCAGCCGCAACCAGCTTGTTCGAACAGACCTATAATTTTCCCTCTAAACCGTTGTCTAGAAGTACAAGTTGGCATCTCCATCAGTTTTAATCTATCTGCAATGAACTTATGCAATTCTAGTGTGGTCAAACTTGCTGATATTATTGTTTCAAGTGGAATCACTGGTATGACTCGTGGTAATCTGACAAATTTATCAACAAATTCATCAGTCTCATATGTCAAATTCACTTGGACACCACAGATAAATCAAGTTGGATCACAGCAACTATGTACAATTGCATTTACAACGTAAAACGTTTCTTAATTGCATTTTCATGATTGTAATATCTTCGTTTTTGTTTATTAGTGAAAACTTACAATCTGATCAATATTGCATTATATTTACTGTAAAAAATTCATCTGATATTTGTGTAACAACAACAACTTCTACGTCCACTACTACATCGACTAAAACAACTTCTACGTCGTCTACTGCCTCAACTACGACAACTATCACGTCCACTACTACCTCGACTACAACAACTTCAACCTCTACTACTACTACTTCAACTACAACAACTACCACATCAACTACAACAACTACCACATCAACTACAACAACTACCACATCAACTACAACAACTACCACATCAACTACAACAACTACCACATCAACTACAACAACTACCACATCAACTACTACCTCATCGCTCTCACAAATATTTACCACCGAATCTCTCAATAATCTTTCTCTTGTGCTTGGATTAGGTCTCGGTCTTGGTCTCTCACTACTTCTCGTCCTGAGCATATTGGCTACTTGTCTTTGTTGTCGATGTTGTCCAGGATACTTCTGGTACGTAGAAGGATGTTATATCTGCCATTGTAAATTGAATTCATGTCGTTTTATCAGGAGAAAGTTGCGCCAGAGATTTTGGAGAGATGAGCAAGTCCACTGTGAAGTATGTCAAAAACAGTCTACTGGTTACTCATCTGACAACACCAATAAAATGTCTGATAAAGATCTAAAGAATTATCGACAGCAGTACATCAATGATAAGCAACGGACACCGACGATCAATTCATTACGTGAAAATTCATTTTTGTCTGATTCACCTTCACCTTTTGATGTGCGGTCTCTCACAACGACACGGACTACGTTTATGTCATGGTCCTCAATAAATGTGATGCCAAGTGAGGACATTTCATCACAAGTGTCTCGTCCATTGCAACAATCTCTCCTTGAGCCTGATGGATCTCTACTTGTGAGAGCTTATATGGCACAAAAACAAGCAGAACACCAGTTTTCCCATTGATTTACATTTTTTCGTAGAATACTGAATTGATTTGATCTTTCTTAATCATAATTCTGTTCGGCAAAACTCCTAAAATCCAAACAATTGGGAGTGGGTATGAAAATGAAGAGAAAAAGTACGCCTATGCACACACCCATACCCACATACACCCGTAAAATTTTTAGAAATTTCATATTGTACTTTTATAAAGTTGATAAGATGAAATAGAGCATAAAAAATTCCACAAGACAAAGATATTACTTATATGTATTAGCACTGTGATGCTTCGTCATCTTGCCATGGTCAATTAAGAATCATTACCATGAGTTATTCTAAGGATATTTATTAATTGAGACTCGAAATAATTCATTTCTTAAGCATTTTGATGATTTAAATATTCGAATTTTTCAAAACTAAAGTTGATTAATTGTCGAGCATCGAGAGTTCTTATACTATTTGCTTTTTTCATGAAGTAATTGGATTGATGTTCATTTACAATAACTAATTCATATAATTTAGTTTGTTGTCTAACCCAAGCGTTATTCAGATTTAATGCTTGTTGCATAAAATTCATAAATGTTTCAAAAATAGATGATTGCATTACCATATTCATTTTGATAAATTCAGCTTCAGCTTTTCTAATATAAGTTTGAAATTCAAGTGATGATGGACTCTCGAATAAAAAATAAAATGGTGTTTCTCGTTGTTCTCTTTTGATTCTTCTAAGTTGTATTCATATCTAACTATTTCGTTTATAGATTGCAACAGAACAAGACCAGAGTTAATTAATTGTTTAACATCAATAATTTCTATATGGTCAGCTTTTCTTAAGATGCGTTTGACGTTACCACCTTTGCTTATTGCAGCTAATTCATAGAATGAAGTTTGTTCTTCAGTCAAATCAATACTTCTTTTCACTTCCTCTTGCAAAATATCATGTAGTATTTTACAAAGGCATGCTTGTTCCCGCATGTTTCTTTCTAATAAATTAGAATGATGTTGACGTTATAGTAATATTCTGACAGAATGCATACTGAATAAAACTAATCCGAAGGATAAACTATAAATACTATTGTTTGCGTTCAATCAAACAAGTCAATTTTAAAGCAGAGTGAAATATTTGGATGTTTTTAGTTGTATTCTAAAGACAAAAAATCCATATGAGGTATCTTTTTTTCTTAATTCTTTATTTTTTCAAAAAAAAGTGAGTGCAAACATCTTATTTCTAGATTATATGCGGAGATCGATTGGTTTCAACGTAGTGCAATAGCTAACTGACTAGTATTATCTGTAAGTCCAAGAACTTGATGTAATTTTGATTCCAAATGTTGCATTTCTTTCGAATTTTCCGATTTAGTTCTTTGACTTTTTCAGCACCAATATCAATTAATTTGTTAGCACTAAGAACATCGATTTTTTCTGCTTTTGAAAGAAATAATTCGCTAATTTTTTTTGTTTTTACAGGTACTGGCTAATTCATACAATTTAGTTTGTTGCGTTATTAAAGCATCGTTCGTATTTAATGTTTTTCGCATAAAGTCAACAAACTTTTCAAAAAGCGATGATTGACTGACCATTCTTGTTTTAATCAATTCAGCTTCAATTTTCCGAATAGCAGTTTGAAAACCAAGTAATAATGCTGCCTTCGTCAATTGAAATTCAGCTTCAGCTTGTTTTTTTTGTAATGCCAATTTTTCACGTTCATTTTCATTTTCATTTTTTGTTTTTTCTGCCTCTAATTGTATTAACTTTTTTTGCCTTTCAAATTCAGCTTCATTAAGTTTTTTATTGTAAGCTGATTGACTGGAAAGTTTGTCTTGAACTGCGCCCATCTTATTTATCGCTTGAATTGTGTATAACAATAAGACAATCTTGAACAAAAGAAAAATAAATTGAATTGAATGAAAAATATTTCTTTTAAAAACAATTATATTCTCATCTGTGAACGATTTTTTGAGTGAATAAAGTAGATATTGTCACGCTATATATGTCGTACCGAAGTTACAACTTCGATAAATCAACTTGTCGAAGTTATTGAAAATTGCATAACCAACAAATAATAACTAATTCATTGATGATATTTTGACGAAAACTTGTGTTTCTAATGAATTCCTCCTTTCAATAACATGCATTTCATTTTTCAAGAATAAGTACATAAAGTTACTATCATTGAAAAAATTGAAAATCAGAGGCTTTTTTCAGTATTTTCTCAAGTGTCTCACAGGATTTCAAAAAAAAAATTCGACAATGTTTTTAGTTTTTAACAGAAAAAAAGCGGAGAAAGAACTATGGTGGGAACCTTTTTAACTACCAAACTACATACTGCATAAATCTATCTACATTCAATCGGTCTTAGTTAATAGAGAAATTATCTGCTTTCGTTCCGCTTTTCTGTTTAACATTTATATTTGAGTTTTCTACTGAACTTTAGTTTTTCATCATGAAATCTGTGAAAACTAGAATGACAGAGTTTTGAATATGAGTTGTATCTATACATAGGCTTTATAGTGACTAGAAACAGCTTAAGTTTCTAGTTATGACGAAAGCATCCCTACAAAGATCTAATTTTAGCAATGTTTTTTTTGGACTGATGTGTGAAACAAGCGCATTTTAGTAGCAAACTGTTATCTCTCTAAGAATGCTTTTGTTTCAATTAAAGCTTTAAAGAGTCTTTAATCCATATAAAGCCTTTCTATAGACGCAACTGATATTTAAAACTCTGTTATTCAAGTTCTCAGAGATCCCATGATGAAAACCTAAAATTCAGTAGAAAACACATAAATACAATCATAAAATCGAAAAACCGAGTGGAAATAGAAAATTTTTCTCCTAACCAAGACTAATCGAGTGGAAATAATTTTATTTAAAAAGTCCTTTGGCAGTTGAAAACATTCTCTCTTTTGTGCATATTTGCTTTTTTCTATTAAAGGCTAAAAATATTGTCGAATTTTTTGTGAAATTCTATCAGACACTTGAGAAAATATTGAAAAAAGCCTCTGATTTTCAATTTTTTCAATGATATAAACTTTATGTACTTATTCTTGAAAAATGAAATGCATGTTATTGAAATGAGGAATTCATTAGAAGCACAAGTTTTCATCAAAATATTGTCAATGAATTAGTTATTATTTGTTGGTGAGACAATTTTCAATAACTTCGACAAAATTTACCTTCGAAGTTGTAACTTCGGCACGAAATATATATTATATTTATGACATTTGGAAATTTCCAATTCTTATTTTTAGTCATCATTTTCTCGATCCTTCTTTCTTATTCTACTCTCTTTGTATTATTTCTCTTTCTTCACCGCTGAATAGTTTTTACGTAAGATATTTGCAAGATGAAAAGGCGTTATAGTGTGACTCAGGGATATGAGTCGTTTTCCTTTTCTCGTTATTGTTCTGCTGTCGTACATTGATGATACGTACAATCTTCATACCTCTTCTTTCCTTTTCTTCCCTTCGCTTGATATAATATAAGTATTTTCCATATCATCATGTCTTCTTCCTAGTGTCCTGAGGATTTTTTCTAGTTCGTTCATATGCGTAAAGTTGGCATTTGGAGAATAAAGAGTCAGTGTTTAAGTGTTATTTATTATCGATCAGTTTGATGGAAACTCCTGTTAACAAAAAGTTATGATAATACGTTATATATTTTTCTTAAGTATATCTGACGGCGTAGTGGAGGAAAACCAGTGAAGTAGCCATATTTCTTCACATTCTCTGCTCCTTTTGAAAAAATACTCATGTTTTCTCCTTAAATAAAAAGGTTATTAACCATTGGGAGGCGAAAAACTGCCTCGACTAATATATGATTCTGCAACAGCATCTGCTGAAATACCAGTTTCTTATTCAATTAGTCCGAGAAAACGGATATTTTTTTTAGAATACACTCTCAGCTTCATACTCTGAAGAAGAACCGAAAATTTAAAGGAAAGGCTTCGAAATGATCATCAATTGATTATTCTTAACAAATATTTTATTTCCCTATTCATTGGAGCTCGAGAATACGTCGATAGGAAAAAAAGTCGATTTCTGAAGCACCATAATTGTTTCTAAGGCACATTTTTTGTTATAAAGATTAAGCTATGAGTAACATCTACAGATAAAATGCTCATTGTTGAATATTAATTTTTCTGTTGCAAAAAAAAACAAAAAGATTTTGAAGCATTGAATGACACGATTCGATTTATTCATAGAGAGTTTTTATCATAACAATATCGGCTAGAGAGAAACAAATTGTATGAATTTTTCAATGAGTAAATAGAAATCTTATTCAAAAACAAACTGATGTCTGCTTAAATAAAGAGAATTTTTTAGTTGCCCTTTTTGTCTTCTATGATTATATTTGAATAAGATATACTAATAAATTGAAGTGTTTATAAGGACTGTATCTATTCTAAAGAACTGAAACTTGATAAAGATTTTTAAAGTTAAAATCCACTTTAAACTTGAAAGTCGTACGATGTAAAGAGCATAAACATTAAATATAAGTTTCTGAATTGAAAATATTTTTCTTTTTCTATTTTTCTAATTAAAAAACAAACAATTAAAGCATTTGAGAAGATTTTTTTTATTCATCTTTACTATAAAGTAAACGATATAAAATTTTTAATATAGAATGTCCCATTATAATATTGTTTAATTAATTAATTGCGAAAAAAATAGCTCATTTTTATTATATTCGTTTATGGACCATTTTATTATTTAAAAAGTGTCTTATACATATCTATTACTTAAAATAAAATATTAGTGAGATTAATATTATAAAAGATAAATTTATTCATTTATAAATTCTGATAAAAATGAACCATATACCATGTCGTTTAAGATATTCAATCACAAAAGAAAAACTAAAAAAGAAATATTATAATGAGACTTAAAATATTCTTCGATAAAATAAAATTCATCTTCAAAAATTTGTTATAATATTTTTGAATATTATAGATACGAAGTAACTTTCTTTTCTTAACAGTATGAAGTTTGAAAGCAGCTTAAGAGTTAGTCGTTGTGTTAGAGGTTTTTATTCATATGGATATGATGACTTACATGGGTAATTTTATTATTATACCGAATATTAACAGGTGACTATATGACTCTAGTTAGACATGTAATAAAAAGTATATGTATATATTATTCATCAGGTTTTTAATGTTCTAAATTCATTATAAGTTCGATATTATTTCAAGTTAATTATGCTGTGAACTCAAATGACACATCCCCAGTTTCTTTTTATTGACACTATAAAATCAACTTTTTGAAGAATAACTTCAAATGTTAAAGCATTGCTCTAATTATTAGATTATTTCTTTAATCGTAAATATTCCGAACGACGATAATTACAACGAACTAAATTATTAAACAATATGTTTGTTTGTTTTTTATTAATATATAGTTAAGTATTGTTAATAGTACATCATTGGCAAACAATATTATCTAGTATGAATTTCATCCATTTCATCAAATACAAATTGTCTAAAAATGGAAGATCCAATGCAGAAATCGAATGACAAAATTGTTCTGCGGATATTTGACAACTTTCTTTGAAAAGATTTTCATTTAAGAATTCACCAACAGGCTCAAACGAACTCTCTTCATTACTGATGGTCTTTAATTTGATTCGCCATTCTTCAAGAGAAACACTTTGCAATTGAACACCACAACGACAACAGCCATCAATGATATCTTCAAATAGCACTTCGCTATTTGGATGTAGAACATGAAAGATTTTTCCGTATACATCAGGTTGAATTTTACTCAAATAAACGATACTTTTCGCTGTAAAATTCACTGGTAGCTCATGTAAACGAGCATGCGCTATTGTCTCAGGATAACAATTTAACTTCATCATTGCAGCAAATAAAAATGTATGAAGATCATTTCGATTGCATGCACCTGTTTCCATACTAGCACATATCGATCCAAGACGATAAATGACTACTGGTAAACCTAAACGATTCGCTTTAGCCATTAGCTTTTCTGCTACCCATTTACTTTGAGCATAACCACTAACTAAACCAGTTGGAGAAGTTTCATCAATTGATATTTCTTTATTAACATCAGATGATAGAACACTCAATGTCGAAATATAATGAACAGGTATGCATGTAGTCATATGAGTTGCTAGACGAATGATCTCTCGAGTACCACAAACATTTGAACCGTAAAGCTTGCTATATGGCAGTATAAAATTCACAGCAGCACCGCAATGAAAAATAATATCAATTTGATTAGCAAGTGACTCGTATGTTTCACCATCTAATCCAAAATTAGTTTTTTCTAAGTCACCTTGCAATGGAATAATTCGTTCTTGAAAATCTTCTTTCCATATTTTATAAAAGAGCATATTTTGTCGAATACGATCCAAAAGATTAGTCAAAGATTTACATCGTACCAGACAGATAAATTTACATTCAGAAGGATAAATCAATAATAATTCAGCCAACAAAAATGCACCGACAAATCCTGTAGTTCCAGTAATGAAAACTACTGAAGGAGATACAACTGTATTTTTACATTTACCTATTGTAATATTCAAAAGTAATTCAGAATCTTTCAGTAATTGTTCTACGATTGAATGTGAAAACATCTGCGAAGGATCTTTAATAACAGTTACTAATTGTTGAAGAGTCATTTGAGGTTGTAAAAGTATGTTTATTGGTACAGATATTCCTAGATCATTTTCAATCATACGAGATAAACGTATAGCTGTCAATGAATCACCACCAGTAGGTATAAAGAAATTATCGTCTTCATCAGTCAATAGCGATTGTTTTGTTGTTGTTTCAATAATAGTTTTTAATCGTTGTTCAATAGTATTAGATTGTTTTAGTCGATCACCATAATAGGCAGCTAATTTGTGACGACAAGGTTTCATTGTAGATGTAAGTAAACCATTTTCTGGTGTAAACGGTTCAAAATCAATGATTAATCGTGATGGTATTTCATGTTTTCGAAGTGATTCTTTTTCAGCTATCAAACGAAGATCTTGTAGAATGGCATCATAAAATTTTGGATCTGGATTATTCATATCGAAATTTTTCAGATCATGTTCAAGTATAAATGCTTGTGCATATTCTTGATTTGGTACGACGGCAGCAGCAATAGAATCTGCTAAGAGATCACCATGAATATAGATTTGTTCGACGAAAGGACTTTGTATGTAAATATTTTGAAGAAATTCTGGTGATACATATTGTCCTTGTGAGAGTTTGAAGAAATTCTTTTTACGATCAATAAGATTTACATACAGATCACCATCTGGGCGAATACGTAATTCAACGATGTCACCAGTACGAAAGAATCCATCTTCTGTAAGAGCTACTCGCGTTTCTTCTGGATTGTTAAAATATCCCGAAAACATTTCCTCAGTTTTTATAAAGAGTTCTCCTCGAGGAAATGGTTCATCGTCTATTGTATAACCCATTTCTGGAACCGATATAAGATGAAATTGTAATGTATTATTAATAATATTGTTGGATGCCACGCTTCCACATTCTGTTATTCCATAAGATTCATAAATATCACACCGTGAAAAACATCGTTTGATAAAGCTAAGTACTACTGGACTAATCATAGCACCACCAACAGTGATCGTTTTACATCTTATTGGAATGAGTTTTGAAAATTGTTGCAAAAGTCGTTCTTCTTCTGCTGCAATAGCTTCCGATGGTAGATGAGCTGTTGCTATTGACAAAGTTGCCTTAAATTCAGCGTATATTTTGTTCCATATGGCTGGTGTTGTGGAAAAATTGTCGGGTCTAACTAAAGCTAAATCTTCCATTAGACGAGAAACGTCTCCTGTAGAGAATCCGGTACGTCCTCCAACAAAAAATGTTCTAATAACAGTGTCACGATCACTCACCCATGCTAATGGTTCATAACAAAAACTAATCTGGTCGACAGCAGATGGACGACACCATTGTACATATGTAGCTCGATAAGCATTTTCAGAAATCATGGCACCTTTAGGAAATCCTGAGCTTCCACTTGTATATACAATTGTCAAACATTCATTAGGATCAATGTTAACAGGTTGATACTGTTTAGTGGAGCCATTAGTTTCAATGTCACCCATGTAATGAATACGTAGATCATTCTTTTCCATACCTTAAAAGAATGTGTTGATAGTTTTATACAAAGAGTATGAATAATTTCTTTTTTCTAATTTTTGATCATAAATGAATTAAGATTTTAATCTTTACCTAATATTGTTTCGGGAATCGAATCCATGCATACAATATGATGAAGTGATGGACATTCTGCATGTAACCGAATAAATTTTGGCAACATTTGTTTATCACAAACAATTACTGATACTTGTGTATTATTGATAACATAAGCAAGTTCGAAATCGTTCAATAAACAATATATTGGCACACTGATAATACTTTGAAGAATGCATGCAAAATCTGTAATTACCCATTCAGGTCGATTTGCTGCACAAATACCAAGATAACCACGTGGTTCAATTATATCTCTTAATCCTTGTCCAAATTTTTTGCATCGAATACCCACTGTTTCAAATGTTAACCAAGAGTATGTATCAGCATAGAGTGAAGGATTCTTTGTGTCAACATCTCGTACACCCAAACAATAACGATCATTATAAATAGTTACAGCAGTTAGAATTCCATTAGCCATACTTGTACTTTGACATTCTTGTACCGTTTCTTCCTTTCCATATGCTAGTTCACGTATCATTTGATGAGGATGTGGTGGATCGAGTGTTAGAAAACATTGCTTGCATAAATCATAATTTTCACAACTAACACAATTGAAACGAAACTCGCCATGTTTTAGGATTCGACAACAGTGGTTGCAAGACCAATTACTCAATTTTGTAGTAGTTATCTCATTCATATCCATCTTGAAACAAATTAAAAAGAAATCAGTTGTCTAACAACGTTTAAACCAATCCATCACAATTGGAAAGCTTTCTTATGATTTGATTGGTGTTTCTTGATGAACTTTTTCTCTGTATTTGTCTGTCTCTCGAACGATAGTTACGTTTTTTTTTTGAGTACATCACTTAGATAACTTCTAAGGTATTATCTTACTCAAATTTTGTTCAGATCTTCGAGGAATAGAAATTTTAGAGCTCATATTTGAAGAGATTAAATTACTCTCGAAAATCTACACAAGTCTAGAAAAGAAACGAAGTCTAAAAGTTCCGGCTGGCATCTAAATACTCATTTATAGTTATATATTTTCTGAATTTGTCACACATTCTGTTTGTATCAGTATTTGAAGGTTGTATGTAAAAAATCTCTGCCTCGTTCATTAGATGTCTAAAAAGAAATCAAAGCATCTTACGTTATTTACTGCAGGTGAGATTTTACAATCATTCATTGAAATCTGTCATAGAAACGATAATGTCGAACAACTTCTATTGAAAATTATTGAAAGGTTAAAATTCGAAGTACTGATGAGAAGAATTTTATACTGGTAAAAAAAAAAGCATGTGTCATATTCGTCATGATTTTGTTACGGTTTCTATTTTAAAGATATGCAAGACTCTTGAGAAACGAAGAAATAAAAAATGACTCATCGTTTTTTCATCATGCTTATGTGTGTAAAAGCTATTTTATTTGGTTAACAATGCACAATGTCGTTATTATATCTATTGTAAAAGATTGTATGAAATATTTAGAAAAGCTTATTCGAATAAAGAAAACCATTTTTCACTAATAATCATTCATATATTTCAATTCTACTCTGAATATTTCCATTCATCATCGAGTAGAATCAGAATAATAATTGTGATGAGTATGATAATTATTACATGATGCTAGTTATCATATGAATCATCAATGACTAGCGCGTGTTTGAAAAGTAACATAATTCTAAATAGTTGCATGAAAAAGATGAGTAATCTTGGTTATAAATTCAATGAATATGACTCTTGAGATAAAAGATATTTTTTTACATTGAAATCAAATATAAGTGAAAATAATTTTATCTGCTTAAGTTACAAACATTGAAATAAAAGATAAAATCAACTGTTAGAAAGGAGAAAAATTCTATGGGTTTCTTTAATCAAAATATAGAATAGAAAATATTGTTTTAAATATCAATAATAAAAGTTTTTTAAATTTCAAAAAGCATAACATTATGTTTTTTGTATGACTAGATTTATTTTAAATAAGACCCCTCAAATTAGTTACGCAAAAAAAATATATATATATAAGAATGATATAAGAGAACAAAAAACTACAATGTCACCTATTATTTATAACATCGTATTTGGTGAATAAATAAATTAGCTTTGGGTAAAGAAGTTTGACAAGTTGGACATTTCACATAATTTTGTCTAATTTCATTATCAGGAGTATATGATTTTATGAATGACGATGGTTTTTGTAAATTTGTATCGATAATCTTCTTCGGTTCAGATTGTTTAATATCAGTTGAAGAAGATGAAGAATTTGTTTTTTTGAAAAAACGTTCAATTGTACCATGAGTTGGAATTACATCATTAGTTGTCTTTTTCTTTTTCTTTGATGGTGATGAAACTATATTGATAAGAATATTTCATATTATTTAGGTATTAAAAACTCTAGAAATTTATATTTTACTTTGACTGGTTGATGGTTGATTATTTTTATTTAATGTTATATCGTTAGCACTTCGTTTTTTACTGTCTTTAGTTTTATAATTTTCTGGTTCTTTTATTTTTTCAAATTTACCACCACAACGTCGTTCATGTTCATCTAAAAATCGACAATATAACAAATCATTAACATATCTAAAATTTATTGAATATACTCTATAGAATACTATTTGTGACAACTAGCTCAATATCTGCTATCTGAGTAGTTTTAATTATATCAAATTTTAATAATTTTACGAATTGGATTTAATAAAAAAATGAATGAATTAAAACAAAACTAAGAAATCTTCCAAACAGCAGTCTTAAAGACAACTGTAAAATTTATTATATTCAAACTGGAAGTACTGGAAAATGCTATACCTTTAAAAATATTTATTTAGACAGTTTTTGTGCGCAGCAAAAATATATTTGTGTCTATTGATCAGAAATTTCTATTATAAATTTACTAACATGAGAAATAATGACTGAAGTAAAATTGTTCTCAATGAATCACAAGCGTGTTATTTTCTCTCTTAACTCTCCTCGTTACCAAGTAGGATCAAACGAAAGCTATGAACATTACTTACCCCACCATCGATCTCGATTTGATGGTACTCGATTCATCGATCGTTTAACATAACCATAAAAAGGTTTCCATTGACGACACGGTCCTGTGCATCGCCACCAATGACCATGAAGATGATCATATTCATCATGAAAAGAATGATATACCTAACAATTATAAATAATGAAATTTTCTTCAAAATAATTAAATCTTTTCTTACTGTAATACTAGCTCCAGTTATATCATTAATTCGTACCATGTGCTTAAGAAACTCTGGTCCATGACCATCACGATCCTATCAATAGAATTTATTTATCTATATAAGAAAAATTATTATATGATTAAATTACTCGATTATTATGTGTAACAAATAGATAAGCATGGATCATTTCATGCTACAAAAACGAATAAATAAAAGATTTAACAAAAAAAAAACAAAAAGAAATATTTACTAATAAAGTTTCAACAAGATCTTTTCGAGGTCTTAATGTTAAATAACTAGCACTGAGTGCAATTCGACATTCACCACCTCGTCTATAATAACATATACCTGCACAACTAAATAAAAATATTCGAATTTATAAATTCAAAATATTAATGTTAAAAATCAGTTTTTTTTTCTCTTACCGTGTCATTCGTTTACTCCATTCGACATAAACACTATCTAATTTTCCATAGAAAAATTGATGATTAAATTGTTGAAATAATGTATAAATATCTGGGTTTGGATCGATTAATTCCCATTGTTTATCAACAACATTCATTGGATGAATCTAAAGAAATTTCAATTTTTTTTTCAATGGAATTTAAGAAATATGAATTTAACCTGTGTGACTTTATCTAATTGTTCTTCATTTTCTTTTTCTTCTTTATCAAATTGATTTTGTAATTGAAGTGCAATAAGAAAATCTTCATCATTCGTTTGTTCATCGAAATCTTTCTCGAATGCTGATGTTGAATCGAAATATGTCATCTTTTCTATTTTATCTCGAATAAATCAAAACAATTTTAATAATAAATAAATATCATGTCATACACTATAAAAAGAAAAAGATGAGTCATCATTACTTGATCAACGTCGTTTCTTCGAAGTACAACGAACGATAGAAGGCGTACGAAGCAAGTCAAATTATTGATAGCACAAAAAGTAGTTCTGATATGTTTCATTTTTCTTTAGAAAATACAAAATAATAATTATTTCAGAAGTATTGAACAGTATTCTCAAAAAAAGATTCGTACTGAAAATGATTAAAGTACACGAATTGTGTCTATAAAAATAGATTGACACATTTTCTTTGACTTGGATTTACAGTTATATAGATTGGCATATAGGTTAAGAATCGGCTACTGAAATCTTACATAAACGATTGTAATATAGACAGATTTTGTTTTTAGAACAACTACGTGTTAATGCTACTTGAATTTATTTATTGACAGAAATATTCGTTGATGTTTCAACGACGAATACAGTTGGAAGTTCTGCCATTAATGAAAGAAACTGTTCAAATGTCAAATTGTTTTTCGATGGAGACAATACTTCTACGATAAGTAATAGAAAGCCTACTCGACTTGCAATCTCAAATTTTGCATAAATGAAAGTTCTTAATAAGGTTAGTTGATTGTGAAAGATTTAGCTTTTCTAGTATTTCTTTTCTAGAAATGTACATATACAAACATAATTTACTATTATATACGAGAGAATTTCAAACATTGAATATCTCAGGATAGAAGATACTAGAAAAATTACAATTTGCTCAATGAACAATACTTTATTTATACAAAAAAAAGTGAATATGACGATCAAAGATATGACTAGTATATGAGAACTACGATCTGCAAGAAACAATGTAACATATAAATAGCTAATATACATGTGTAACACTATTCTAACTTTATGGTCAAGATTATTTAGATATATTTAAAAATATGAAATATATAGCTAATATATATGTTTCAACATACAATGTTATTCTATTCTGATTACTTAATTGTAGATATTCAACTAATCTTTATTGAATAATCTTTCTCAAATGTATTACTTATCTTTTCTGAATTATGAAAAAAATACATGAACTTTGTTTGTTAGTTTTTATTCGTTTCAAGCTACTTCATTGTTGACCAAGCGAACGGCCAGTGAGGCGAAAAAAAAACACATGAAAAATTGAAAGATATATACTATCTTTCAGAAGAGTACAGAAAGAAAACTAACACAGACACACACACACACACATACCAAGAAAAAAAGAACATTAAATAATACAGATAATAATCAAGTTATTTTTATTTTCTTTTGAATTCTCTTCATCATCTGACTAGAGCGACTTATGAATTTGACGATGGAATGATATGAAACAAGAAAATAGATATGTATATATACACTGCGAAAAAAAAAAGAAAAGTCAGCAGTGATGAATACTTTTTTTTTGTTTATACAGATAACTGACATAAATCGCATTGATTTAATAATATAGAAATACAAAAAAAAAAGAAATAGAAGATAGTGAAGAGAAAACAAGAAAAAACAACAAATCAAATTCTCTTTGTCTTTTTTTTTTGTTTTAAATAGCCGAATTTTCTAAAGTATTAGCTGTTGCATCTTGTTGAAAATCTTCTCTCATTATATGTAACATTTGATGATTATCAAAAGAATCTTTTTCATTTATATTAAACGTACAAAATGTACATGTATAAACATGTTCATCTGTTTTAGGTAAATTATGATGTATAACATGTTGTTCAAATAATTGACGATTATTATTTGTATATGGACATAATGAACAATAATATATTGATGTATCCATTGTATGTGTATTATTATTATTTGGATCATCTTCATGTTTAATACCATTTTCATGAACTAAGATTTGAAAATAAGAGTTAAAACGAAAAAAAAAACAAAGCAAAATATGAACATACTTAACCATTTTTTAATAATAACCGTTGCATCATCAGATTTAATAAGTGTTAATGGTTCGAGAACATTTGTTAATGAAGCTAAACTACTACCATGTGTTGATGCCATATGTTTACGTATACTAGCACGCCATTTTGATAAAAAAAAACATTGTGAACATTGAAAACCACCACCATCATCACCACAATGAAGTTCAACATGACGATGAATATTTGATGGATTTGTACATTCATATGAACATACAGAACATCCATAAAGTCGTTCTGGACGTGTTGATTGACAAGAATTTGTTGTTGATGATGATGATGATGAAGGAGCAAATGATGGAGAATTATCAATATCTTTTAATTTTGTATTGATTATTTCAGATGGCTAAAAAATGATAAAGATGGTCGTTGTTTAAGTTGTATTAAACGTTGAAAACGAATGAAATTTTCTCATGATTATGAAATTACGTTGAACTTTTGTAGTTTAAATTGAAATGATTTCTTATGATTTTTTTTTTTCGTCTAGTTTTGATAAAAGTTCAGTAGATGATCTTTACTGTTGTTATAAGTAGATATATTGACAAGCACTACCAACACATAACAAATAAAAAATGATTTGTTTCAAATGTATATGTCCTTTGAATTATCTTAGATTGAATGTTAGTATTTATGTATTTGATAGGTATATATTGAAACTGAATATTCGAGTCTGATTTAACTTGAACAAAATAATTTGATACCAAAGAACGTATTCTTATTCTCACTTTAAATTGATCAAAAACAGATCTCAGAAATCATAAGTTACTCGTTCAGACTGAGTACCATAACATAATTCAAGTTTAGTGTATGCCTATTGTGTGAATTTATACCAAAGGATATCCTGTCTATGACATTTAGTGAATTTTCGTTGATAAAAAAAAAAAAAAAAAAAGAAATAAGAAAGGAGATTGCATGGAAAGTTTCTTTGATTAATCATGTGTTGAAATACCTGCTGATAGAATTGTTGATTATTCTCATTTGCTGTTCGTATTTTATTTGTATTTGTACTAACTATTTGTTGTTCATTCATTTCGTTTATTTCATCATTATTTGATGTAAATGATACTTCTGTTGGTGATTGAGTAGTAGTATTAGCTAGATCAAGACCAAGATCAATTACATGACCGGAATGATCATCTGGATGCATGCGTTTCAAATGTTTTTTAACATTACCTTTAATTCAAAAAAAAAATAAAGCCAAAAATAAATAATTTTGAATTAAAAAAAACAAAATCTTTTATAATTTACCTCCCCAAGCAGATATATGTGAACAAAGTGAACATTTATATCGTTTAACTAATGGTGTTTTTTCACCTTGTAATTGTTGTTGTTGTTGTTGTTGTTGTTGAATTAATTGTTTATTAGTTAATTGTCCAAGAAGAGTAGCAAGTGATGCAGCAACATTATTATTCATTAATGATGTTGGTAAATTTTCAAAGAATGTATTTGTTGCATTTAATTTTCTTGTTGTCATAGCTGTATTTATTAAACGTGTAAGCATTTCTTCATTACTTAAATTATGTTGTTCACTTTTTATTTCATCATTATCATTACTATTTTTATCATTAGAATTTGATGTTGTTGTTGTATTTGATGATACACTATGAACAGGTGTATCTGATTCCAAATCATCATTATCTTCAATTATCTGTTTAATAAATAAATAAATAAATAAATAAATAAATATGAAAAGAAAAAAAAAATTTACTTGATTATTAATATTATCAATAATTTTTGCATTTGATCCATCATTTTGATGAACATTTCGAATATGTCGAAGAATAACCCATAAATGATATGATTGTATTGAACATGCTGAACATGAAAATGCTTTTGGTATTGTTGAAGCTAAAGCATTTTGATCAGTTGATGATGATGTTGATGTAAGTAATGTTGTTGATGAAGATTTCGTTGCTGTCATTGGTTCACCATTTGTTGATGATGTTAATGGTTTATCAATTTCAAGTATAACATTTGACATATTATCTGAATCAGATGGATGTTTAGCACGTATATGACGTTCAATAATCCATCGATGTGGTGCTAAACGTTCACAACGTATACATTTATAAACACGAGATGATAATGATCCAATAGCAGATAATTGATGTTGAGTAGATAAATGATTATTATTAGTTTTTATTGTTGATTGTTCATCTTCTATTGATAATGATTGAGGTTCATTTGGTGAAAGAAGATCTATTTAAATGAAACAAAATTTTTCGGTCGAATTATCATGTATACAAAAAAAATAAAACTAATTCTATCTTCCTTTTCTAATAAGAATTTGAATAAACAATTAAGAAAAGATGTAAAAATGCATTTAATTTTTATCACAAAAAAGAAACTAAATTCATTTGTGAAGAAACAATCTGCCGGATGTAATAGAAGATTTCCTTTAATTAATTGATTTTAGGAATGCAACACAATGGTTTACTTTATCATCAAGTCAATGAGTATATGATGAAACTACAATAACAATTGACACCATTGCATCGCTACAAATCTGTCGTCATCATAGATTTTTCACATGTTTAACAGCCGTACTCTAAAATATATTGATCTAAGGCATATCCGTAGTGCAATGATATCCTAAACACGTTGAATCGCCAATTCACCGTCAGCGTTTTATTTCTGATTTACATGAATCATTTCATAAACTCTATATTAAAAAAAACCACCGTTTCAATGAATCATACATAATGTAACAATGAAAATAACTGCGAAATAAACCTTATCTCTCTGAATCAAAATATACCAAATATTTTTTCTTCTGTCAAATAATAAAATTTATTTTTGGAAAATGATTTATATATGAATCATAAGGTCATATATGAAATTGATGCTTTCTCCTTTGTTGTTTTCTTTTGAATTACGAACTTGAATATATTCCACTATTTTGATGAAGTTTTAATTAGAATTCTTTTGGTATTTGTGATATTTCGAAAAATTCTTTTGTAATATAACAAACCTCGAGGTGCTGAATCATTATTAGTATTTGTTGTTGAAATAATGTGTGCTGGTGATGTATCA